CTTTTGGCCCTGCTCCCCTTTGAAGTAAAACCTGAAATGAACTCCTTCTAAAGTGGCATATTGAACCAGCCCAATTTTATTTCCCAAGCCTTCTCAGTTGATTCGTGGCACATCCATCTTCATGGAAGTGACTACTGCTGGCTAGAATTACAACTTCCTTCTGATAGCAGAATGTACTCCTACAAGAACTTGAGCAAGGTTGTTAACCAAATCCTTCAGCAGACAGCTTTCAGGGTGGCTGGGCCTTGTTAGAAAGGGTTAGTGGAACGCCTGCTGGGCCCACAGGATTTGTCTAGGCAAAATCTGAAGGTTGAGGACATAAGAGGACACAGTCCTTGCCCACAGGGAGTCCTCATCCCGCAGGAATTAGATCTACAAGGAGGGCTGTTACATCATATCGCCCGAGGCTACTCAGTGTTTCTTCTTGACAGTCAAAGTTTTGAGTCACCTTGCATCGTGTTCAAGCAAGAAAATAACAAATAACAGAAATCTAATCAAAGATCAAGAATAAACACTGTAGTAATGGAAAGAAGAAACATCTCAAACCCATGCAGCATAGTAAAGTAGCCAGTGCAATAAGATTACATTCCTAAAATATAAGCTCTATCTTAAAACCTAGGTCATGTTCTGTTCTTTCTTAATTTCTTGTTAATATTTTTTAAATATTATTATTTTTTCTTTATTCTTATTGTTGACACTGTTACAGATATCCCCATCCCCCCCTTTGCCTGCCTCTACCCTGCTCCCTCCCTTCCTTCTGGCCATCACCAACCACACTGTTGTCTGTGCCTAATTTCTTTATCAGTGTTATTTAATTCTACTTACTCCTCTCCTTTCTTATACTTTCTCCCAACGAAAAATAAGGCAGGGTGGAAAGACTACAGGTATACCTTTCAGAAAAAAAAATTTCCCCTTGAACACGATTCCACCGTATCCTCAATATCCCTATCAATTTGCGTCTTACAAGGATCTAAAATATAGATTGCTTTAAAATCCCCTTTATTTAGGTATGCCAACTTCCTGTTGCATTTCCTTAAAGAACTGTGCCAGGCTGTGTATTAGAGACCAGAGATACAGTGATGACAAGGCAGGTTTCTAGTCAACATCCCTCTGGCAAACTTTGACTCGCTCTCAAGGAGTTCACTACTCTCCTTTCTGTCCCCACTGCACCCGGTAACACAACTCTTAGCACGCTGTGCCCTTATCAACCTGTATGGAAACTATCTGTTTATGTTTCAGTCTCTTCTCGAATCTCTAGATCACAAAGTACTTGAGGACTCAGAGCTTAGCACGTAGTGGGGGCTCAATCAAAGGGCTGAGTTCAACTGGATCACAAAAGACAACCTTCACTGTAAATAATATAGAGGCAAACACATAGACACGAACACTGTACACACCTTCTCTAGTGCCATGCTAAATAGAGAGCCCAATTCATGACCCAAAAAAGGCATTTTACACGATTGCTGAGATTTATTTTATTTTTTTTAAATATATATTTTACTGATGTTTTTACAGAGAGGAAGGGAGACGGATAGAGAGTTAGAAACATCGATGAGAGAGAAACATTGATCAGCTGCCTACTGTACACTCCCCACTGGGGATGTGCCCGCAACCAAGGTACATGCCCCTGGCCGAAATCGAACCTGGGCCCTTTCAGTCCGCAGGCCAATGCTCTATCCACTAAGCCAAACCCGTTAGGGGCAAATTGTTGAGATTTAAATAAAATCTGTATTTACAGACAATAACATTTGGTGACATAAGTTCACATTCTGGAACCTGTAGTAAAGCTTTATAGCCCTTATATACTCAGAAATTTCCTTTTCCATTATTTCCAGGTAAAATTAGAGTTTGGGGAGCCAGTGTGTGCATCAGCTAATACAATGACAACCACTCTGCCCTAGCCAGTTTGGCTCAGTGGATAGAGCATCGGCCGGAGAACTGAAAGGCCCCGGGTTTGATTCTGGTCAAAGACACATGCCTTGGTCACAGGCTCGATCCCTGGCCCTGGTTGGGGCCCGTGCAGGAGGCAACCAATCGATGTGTCTCTCTCACATCGATGTTTCTCTCTGTGTGTGTCTCCTCTTCCCTTCCACTCTTTCTAAAAATATGGAAAAAATCCATTCTCTCTAAAAATCAATGGAAAAAAATGTCTTTGGGTGAAGATTAACCAAAAAAAAAAAAGTTAAAAAAGCACATGACAACCACTTTCATAATTGCTACTTTAAAAAAGAATGTTTTATTATTGAGTCCTGTTTTCTCTAAACGGTATGAATTCAAGTTTGGTGACAAGTGGGAGAAGGAGCCTGTCTACTGCAGGCGAATCTCTCAAGTCTTTCATGCACTTTCCAAAGTTGCGCAGCAGCCACACCTTGCCGCCACTGTGGCGGCAGGGGCCCATGTGTAATTTTGGACAAATGTGCTTGGGTGCTGGGAAAAACCCAGAATTTATATAATTTGAAATGCGACAACATCAGCAAAGCTAAAGATCAACAGAAACTACTAAAACCTTCCAGAGAAATGCAAGTTTAGCATTTTCACTTGCCATTTATTCACTTCAGGAGCAAACTTTGTTATTAAGTAGTTCACACGTGCCTGCATCCTTAAAGTAAAATCCTTAGCAAAGGAAAGTTGGGCTCTGAAGTGTAAATCAAAATTTAGATATACCCGTACAGTGATCAAAGTTTGCTGATCAGAGAAAAGGCGCTTCGAAGAATTGAGTGCAATGGTTTACAAGTTGGTTGCAGTCCCTATTTAAACAGAGCCCGTTTTCAGCAGATCATGATAATGATGGACAACATAGAACATTTTTATCAAAAGTAGAACAAAGCAGCCCTAGCCGGTTTGGGTCAGTGGATAGAGCATCAGCCTGCAGACCAAAGGGTCCCTGGTTTGAATCCGGTCAAGGGCCCGTACCTCGGTTGCAGGCTCCTCCCCGGCCAGGGCCCTAGAAGGGGCTTGTGCAAGAGGCAACCAATTGATGTGTTTCTCTCACATCAATATTTCTCTTTGTCTTTCCCTCTCTCTCTCTCTCTCTCTCTTCCATTCTCTCTAAAAATCAATGGACAAATATATTCGGGTGAGGATTAAAAAAAGAAACAGAACAAAGCAGTCACTTTAACAGTGGAACTGTTGTATATTTAATAGATAAAAGGATAAAAATGTCACACACACACACACACACACACACACACACACACTTTAAGCCAGAACTGCCAAAAAGATGGGAAGGGGATGTTTCTCACCTAAGTGTGTGTTGCAGGGGGGGAATCTTCCACTTTGCAGGGGTAGAGCTCTGGGTTCAAATCCCAGATCTACCCCTTTGAAGCAATGTGACTTTGGGGAAGTCACTTACCCTCTCTGAACCTCAGTTTCCTCATTTCTAAAGCAGCAGGGAGATGGAAGCATAACATTGCCAGCTTTGCATGATTCTTGGGAGTTAACTCCAGGCTGAGCTGTTACAAGTGAAAGTGAAAAGTACTTGAACTTGCTTCCTTCCCTTGATTTCCTCTGCCCACCCTCACAGGCAGAAGCAAGCAAGGGAAAGAATCGCTAAAAGGCAAAAAGGGAAGGAAAAGAAGTTGGCACAAGAGACTCAACCGATACACAAACTGGAACTGGATGCTGCCTTTCTCTCGCCTGCCCTTTACCTACCTGTCAGCAAGTCTGATGCAAATTGGAACACTGGGTTTAACTTTTAAAAACATTTTGGGTGACACGTTTTTAGTGGTCAGTTTTTTCTATGCTAAAACATGAGATATTTAGTAGCTCAAAGGAAGTCCTTATTGGGATGGTTTGTATCTTTTGAGAACATAGGTAAAACGTTTATGTATGACATTCAATAAGTGGCTTAAAGTGCTGGGGAGCAGTTAATATCAAATTGCCTTAACAAAATATATTTTTGAAAAAACAGAAGCACAGTGAACAAAAGCCCACGGGGCTCTATATAACTTCCTTTGTTTTCATGTATTAGGAAGTTGTCCTAAGCCCGCCTTTGAATCCTTATGAACCCTTATGAAGAAATAACAGTTTCATGATGGGCTGGCTTTGGAATCTGTGAGCCCCCATTGGGGTAGTTCACGGAAAATACTACATCACAAAATCCTTAAAAAACAATAAAAAAAAACCCCACCTCTTCCCAGGGTCAAACTCCACAGCCAATCAAAATATTGCACCCTTTAACTTGAGGGAAATGCTAGAGAGAAAATATAGCTCTAAACAGTGTATGGCTTGGATCTGAGGGTTCAAAGAGAGGTCTCCCCAAGTTCCACAAGACTCCAGGCCACTGAAAACCCGCTACCCATTTGTTGTTTTTGATTCAGTTAATGAGAAGGAAGGAAGCGCTAAGTGCCCCATTTGCACTTATTAAAGGCATGCAGCCCCTTGCTAAGTAAATGCAGCTCCCCCAGGTTCCCATACCTGAAGAGAAACCCTGACAGCAGACCCGGAAATGCTTGCAATTCATTTAAGATACACGTTATTTCTAAATACATCATCGAGGGACTCTTTTGCTTATTTTGACATGTTCAAGCAAATGGGGAAGTTTGCTTCCATGTCGTTTTCATTTTTACCAAACTGGCATTAGGCACCAACATTAGTTGAAGACCGAATCATTCCTTACCTAGGACTGAGAACTTAACGGACTCGTCCCAAGCTTTGCGAAAAGAATACCATTTTGTAAATTGCACTGTGGCTTTTTTTTTTTTTATCTTCAGACGAGAACACACTTAAAAGGAAAAAGGCCATTCCCTCCTCCCAAGCACAAAAACACAGCAGAGCTCAAGCAGCCCGTTTCCTACCCAGCCGGTACAAAAATGCTTTGTAAGCGGAGAGCAGCGCCGGGTAGAGAAGCTAAATATAAACAGCTGAGAAGGATTAGGCGGTAGCTCCATTCTCATTTACATGAAAATCCTCAGCATCTTTTTCCTCGCTGGCTGCAGGCGCATAAGGAATTCTTTTGTGCCATAGCCACGCATACATTTGCATCCTTTGTCTTTACTTACCAGTCGAGGCTGTGGGCATGTGTGCTCTATTTCCTCCATGGTTTCTGAGGGAGGCTCATTGGAAAGGGATTTTGGGATACCTGTTTCTGACTCAGCATCAGTGGTAAGTACTGGCATGGCCAGTGAATGCTCCCTCCAAGCTCTACACCCCGTCAGTCTCCTCCCAGGCAGAGAATGTTTTCTTTCTCAGGTATTTTTCTCTTCCTTACCCATCCCCCTTCTTCATCACTTCTTTCTGTCTATCCTGGGGGTAGTAAAGAGGTTACCCCCCACCCCCGCCCCTTTCGTTCTGGGAGAAGCCGAGAGGCAAGGCCTCAGTTTATCACTAGAACAAGCAGATGGCACTGGAGCTGCGGTGCGGGATACAGTACCCTATTTGCATGGAGCGCGCTGATTGGCTACTGTCATCATAGTACCACTCCGCTAGGGAGCGGCCGCGCCCATTGGTGGCCTGCCGTGCCCACGGGGCCGAACTTGCCGCTTTTGTTTCTTTTCTTTAATTCAGTTGCAAAGGTCTCAGTCCACTGGGGAAAGGGACCCGGGCTGCATTACCCAGATAAGATAAAAAACGCTTCCGGAGGCGGGGACAGGATGCCCCAAGAAAGAACACTGTAGACCTCTGCTAAAAAAGAACCATGTCCCTGGCGCGTTTGACGTGGTCCAGTCAGAAATTTGCCCAACAGGAGTCACTGTGAAGACAAAGCCACTTTTGAGCCCAAACTCCCTGTGCCCGCAATTGTCCGCTAACCCCGGAGGGCTTCCCAGGGCATTTATTGTGAGCACCTGAGTGTTCACCCCTTGACTGCAACAAGAGCAGGACAGATCCCCTGAGGCCTGGCTTCGCCTCCTGGAACCTAGCCCTGGGGGGGGGGGCGGGGGGGGGG